AACCATCTTAAAATACTTATGTGGGGACATTTACGAATCGCACATAGAGAAATGCACACCGTCAATAATCCTTGTCACAGCTTCCCAGTTCTCTACACTCAGCAAGCTTATTGGTATGTGTAAGCTAAATTTTACCGAGGGTAATATCTGAATTTCGAAAGCAGTGTTTTTTTCGTCTGACGTATAACGCAAACATGCTAGAGTCAAATTTGTATTCGAGAATTGATGAAGGCAAAAATCGAAAGTGAAATGGTTTGAAATGCAAAGACTTAGGAAATATTTCTCGCTGATATTATTGTAGAAATTAATTTGTCTTCTTTGCTGCATTGGTAAAAATGCACGTGATTTTCTTACACGATTTAAAGATGCAATAAGTATCGGGATACAAGCAGATTGTCTGCGTAATGTCTGCGGAAAAATATCCGTGCATACTTTCGCACCAAAAGGGGGCTAGAGTTCATACAGCTATCTGTCACGCGTGACAATAGCTTCGTCGGCAAATAAGTGTTCTTTACGTGTTCTCGCATTTGATGTGACCTTAGTGGCATAGCTCTAAATGACAACAAGGAAATTGCCGATATCAGTTTTCGTCTTTTCATTCCGCCTGATCAACTCGTGATCTCCTTGTGTGGTATTAGACGCCCACAATTTTTCTTCTGTAAACCCCTCGGATGGGTTCACTGTCTCTCGCAATCTAAAAATCTCCCTCGAATCGATTGTACACGAAATTACTCGATTTTTTTTATTTAGAAATCCATTCCTTGTTAGAAGATACAACAGTAAACACTGAGTAACGAAGAAAAGGTCATTGCAATGATAAGTTTAATCCACTGAGTTTATAAATAGGGAAAATTCACGCATATATGCAGTTGATCACGTAAAATTAATATATCACATAAAAGAACAAGTTGAGTTACTCAACAGGCATTCTTCATCAATTCTCGAGTTGAATTCATATGAGTTTTTTCAACAGCTGTGGGTGGAATTTCAAGCGTTGTGTTACATACTGTGTCTATAGCAGAAGGGAAGTTCAAAGCTAAAGGTAAGAAGATATCTTTTAACAAACTATCATAAAATAATTATGTCCCAGTTCTTTAAAATCAGCAAGCTTATTGGTATGTGTAAGCTAAATTTTAATGTAGGTAAAATCTCAAATTCGAAAGTGGCCTTTTTTTTTTCTCTGACGTATAATGCAAACATGCTAGAGTCAAATTTGTTTTCGATAATTGATGAAGGCTGAATTCGAAAGTGAAATGATCTGAAATAGAAAGACTTGGGAAGTATCACTCAATCTGTGTTATTTTAGGAATCAATTTGTCTTCTTTGCTGCATTGTTAATAGATAACTTGATTTCCTTGCACGATCTATAGGTGCAATAAATATTGAGATACAAGCGTATGTCTTGATATTCTAGCTTTCGATCAGTCGGATTTGTAATCGGAAATGTAAGACAAGGAATTTCAAACGTGGAGTCTGGACTGGCAATTGAGTATGGGGGTGGGGGGGGGGAAGGTCAGGAAGATGGCCAAAAAAGTCAGTTTCACAGCTTATTCTTCATGCAGGCTGCAGTTATTGCAAATGATATTTGTGTAGTTGAACGGCATTCAAACTAATCTGAGAAAAGAAATACATTTGAGAGAAGTATAACTTACCTACACCATAATTGCTTGCTGTCTGTGCATGTATTTGTACATGAAGCCATTCATCATACTGAACTCAACATTTACTTCAATAGCTAGCATGCACTTATCGATACATCCCATAATATCAACACTGGAGTGCAATCCTTTAACACCTAATAATGTGACCATATAATCAATA